CTATAGGGTCGTAATCTCAATTTGTGTTTTGCCTTGAGAAGGTTCCGAAAACCGTTTTGCGCAAAAACTCTAAATCATGGGTTAAGACGATCCCTCATTGGCGTGTAGGTTCTGTATGTGTTAAAAAGACTATGAATGTTTGCCGCTTGAGTTTTCTACGCGAGGCCTACCGCTGGAGACCTGGCACCGTGATCTCCAAGGGGGATTGGGCCTTCGGAGAGGGCTACGGTCACGACATCCTTGGAGATCTCAATCGCGGCGCAGTGGGCTGGCTGGACTGCGGGAGCATCATTCGGGGGCTGATTTGGGCTTGTGTCACTCTTTCTCTCTCTCTCTATATATATATATATCTCTCTCTCTCTCTATGTGTGAGTGTGTGCATCGCTACAAGTAGCTAGAAGCTACTAGTAACAAGTGCATCGCTACTAGGAACTAGCTAGAAGCTACTGGTAACAATCATCGGATGACCCACCTCCTTGCTGCCAGGCCTTTTCTCATGCCATGTAGTGTTTTGATGGGATTCAGGGCAGCTGATGTGCTCCATGCACACCGTACACTACACAGCACTCTTTCAAGCAGTTGAATGGTGTCCCAGACTTTTTTTGAGCCTTGCCACAAGTGATGTGCTATGCCACCTTCCCCGGAGGATTGGAATCTGATCTTAGATGAGAAGGGTGGGCCAAATCACGTGAACAACGTGTGCGATGCTGCAATTCAGGCATGCCGGCATGCCGTGACGATCAGTATCACTTTCGCACGTCCCATTTCAAGATTCCACCTACAACGACATGCACGCACAGCAGCCCCACAAACACGGAGCACAAGTCAGGTCTCCATTTGACCATCACCTTAGTGTTTGCCTTGAAACAGAGCAACCCGAACAATGAAGTATGTGAGAACAGTGCATCTCCACTTGGTGAAACAGAGCGGTCTCGTAAGCGGTCAGCGTCGACCGGCCATTCAGCGGCGACGAGGTGGACTTCTCAGCCAAGCAGGTGTACCGGCACCCGCAGTACTACTACATTGGCTTGGGCCACAGTTTGGCAGTGTATGCATTTTCACGCTTCCACACAAGTGTGGTGTTCATGGGCAGATGTAAGGACATGTAGGCTGTTTGATTTGCTTGGCGAGTAATTAGTCGTCGAGTAGTAGCCCATGTTTAAGCCTACGGGTGTAAAACCGAACGTGTGACTACTGCGATTTTTGAAGTTGATGCTACGTGAAAGGTGGGGGGGGTGGGGTTGGGGTGGGATGAGAACATTGTCATTGTTTTCACGACAAGTAATCTTCGGTTTCATAGCATTGTCAACGGTTTCATAACATTGTCATCGATTAGTCGTGTGATTAAAATGGGGTGGGGGGGGTGATGGAATGAGGATGTGGCTGTCATGCTGAGAACATTGTCATCGATTTCGCGACAAGTAATCTTCAGTTTCATATCATTGTCATCGGTTTCATAACATTGTCATCGATTAGTCATGTGATTAAAATGGGGTGGGGAGGTGGGGGGGGGTTGTGATGGAATGAGGATGTGGATGTCGTGCTGAGAACATTGTCATCGATTGCACGACAAGTAAGCTTCGGCTTCATAGCATTGTCATCGGCTTCACAACATTGTCATCGATTAGTCGTGTGATTCGCGGATAGCAGTGTCGTTGGGAAAACACCACGTGTACTAACTTGTGCAAAAAACTGCGCAAGTCTACTTGAGACAGGACGCATGAAAGTTGAGGACAGCCCGGGACAAAAACGGCGACGGATTTTGCGCTGGCGCTTGGGTTTCGGCAGATTCGGCTTTAAACATGAAAGGATCCGGGACCACCAAAAAACATCATCGAACAAGCAAAAGTACTGAGAGGGCTTGCGCCTTTGAATCAAAATTTGCACGACTACACTACGATTCCACACCCGGCGGGATGTTTAACATAGATTGCTTGCATAAAGAAGAACACTTTGAGTGTGAATGGCTACAGGCCACTTCTCCAAGTTCCTTGTGCCTGGCTCGCTGCATTTGGGCAGTCACGTTCTCCGAAGTGGAAGTGCACCAGGTGCCCAGACCGCTTGGCGTGTTTTCCTGCCTTTGCGGCTTGACAGGTGTGACGTGGGGTTCGGCCATGTTTGGTCACGTTGAGATTTGTATTTATACAGAACTCAATGTATTTCGAGCGATGGCCTCCAACCTCTAAATCTTTCCCATAAGATAGCCAGATTGCCAATCAGACGTTGTTGGAGAGATTCGGAGATTGTTGGACTTGGTTGCACTATGAATGTCAATGTCGCACTCCACTGAACCGGCCCCAGCTTTGTTGCATGTGCTGATCGTGCAACCTTTGGACGGTCTTTTTCACTTGAGAGTTGGTATTGAAGCAAGTGGTCAATGTGACCTTTGCCAGTGGTTCAGTGTTAGATTCAGAGTCCAGAGCCGCAACCCTGAGCCGACTTGCCAGCTGGTCAACGACCCTACGGAACGTGCACTGGAGCAGATGGTCTGCAAGCGACGGCTGCAAGAAAGCCCAACGGTCAGGTGCGGATTCGGGAAGTTTGAGCTTTGTTGAACAGATTGGAGATATCACCACTCATCGGATCTTGACCGTCGAAAGAGAAGAGTTGGAAGCTGGATGGATCTTGAATGGATTCCACTGATCACTTTGTATCAATCAATTCTAGCTGCAGCCCCTGGAGGTCGCTGTTGTGAGAGGCTCAGCAAGAGAGAAATCACTTCAGACAGAGAGTCTGACAAAGGAGAGCCTGTTTGATAGATCTCACAAGAGTTTCTCATCAAGACAACGGGAGTTGGTGAAGTCGACATAACCATACCGATACCCAGGTGGTGCTCAATTGTGGTGACACCGAAGTGGTGCCTTGGCGACAGTGAAAAGACCTGGGGCCTTGGGCCTTGGGCTCCAGGGGGTCACTGGCCCCACCAATCATTGCAAACATCGAACTGCCTCAGGAGTTCAAAATGAAATATGCCGCCTTGGCTGCCAAGCTCAAAATCCCTGCGCATGGTATTCAGACGTATCTTTTCCAGGAGAATCAGCTGTCAGTTGTGTTGGTTTGTGGAGCCAATCAGTAGGTCTGCTTGCGCTGCCCCTTGCAGGAAATGGCCGGTGTTTGAATTGCCAGCTGATGGCTGGCACTTCCGTTTGAATACTAATGACAAATACCATGGCCTAGATCTGAGTAGTTTTGCTGGGTTGAATGAATTCTGAATAGGGTTTGGAAGGGGTGGTACTTCAAGATGGAGTTGAGCGGTTTGGAGAAGTTGTATTTTGTTGGGGGTGCTTCCACGCCCAGTGCCACTTCCTCCCGCGTATTCTTTCAGGGGTGGCTTTTAAAAATGCCGCCATAATTACTAGCCGGCATTTCTTCGATGCTCGTAATCATCTCGCCCTTTTGCTGTTCTAGGCTGTCATTTTTGCGTGACTGGTTCCAATCACGGCATGCCAAAGCACAAGACTATACATACACGCGCACAGTTCATGTGTTTTATGTTGTTTCTACCTTGGGCAGCGTACGACATTGTGAGCCCACGACACGGAACAAGCTCACAAAGCACACAAATCTAATAATAGTGAGCTGCTGTGTTACTTACTTCCGCTTGGGACATTACATCAACAACGCAGACACAATAAATCAACGCAAAGAGAAGGAAACCGAAAGGGAGGGTCCCATTTTACAAGGCCCTCTTTAAGGGCACCTTTTAGACGGGCTCTTTCAATCGCTTCATATATTCTACCCAAATGTTTGGCCTCAAAGTCATCGTCTACATGTGTCAAGTGATTCAACACTGACTGCTTATTGTCAGGGCACAAGTGTACAATGCGGGTTTGTTTCATAGAATAGGCGTTGATATTGGAAGTCAGGAAGTCACGCTGCTTAACTGAAGATTTATGTGTTTGGTCGATGGGCTTGCAGCCGGGGCGAATGGGTGTCGCATGCCGGATAATTTTGGGTAAGAGAGTGACCAGAACATTCGGCTCAACAGCCGGTGTCAGCGAGTCCATTACCTCACTTGCACTGCCGGCTTTGGGTTTCCAGTTTTTTGAAGGTGTTGGTTTGAAGAAGCGGCAGCCGGGTTGAAGGAGTTGAACAACTCCATGTCAATGTGCGAGTATGAGACCAAGAATAAGAACAAGCATGGGATATGGCTTGAAGCCAACTGTCCCAGAGCAGTGCAACAAGCTCCAGTGATTGAGCACACGTTTGTGTTCACATATTGGACCAAGCCTGGGGATGTTGGATGGCAGCAAGAACCTTTGAGTTTGAAGACGTTGATTCCCTTGGGAGCTGTAGACGGCTTCTACCGACAAAAGTTACCTGTAGCAAGAAGAAGCAGTGACCTGATTTAAGTCTTTAAACTGGTGCCAAGACATCCAGCATTGCCAGAATCATCGGGCCAGGGATCCGTATCAGCTGGCACCAAAAAAGCAAACCAGGTCCACTGGTCCGACCGAGTGCTTTAGAGAGAGACGTGACCGATGCTGGAGAGATACTTAATTACTGCCCTTCCAGGCAGACACATAGACTGAGAAGGACATAGAGGACGAGAGGCAACACTTCCCATTGCATTTCTTCACGGCCTCCGAAAAAAGGCCCAACCTGACGTCCACATGGGAGCCAAGGTCAATTTGCTGGACGAGGTTGATTGCTGAGTGGTGCTGCTTCGTGCCCCTGTCATCGGCGCGCGATGATGGTGAGGTGAATAGGCCAGCAACGCACCGACATGAACGCACTTGCAGTACAGGAATGTATCGGGTGGTTTGGACGTTCTTTGCCTGTGCTCGCGGCAGTCCTGGCCCAGGGGCCACATCCAAATAGCCGTTGCGACTGCGTGCAGAAAAATACGACGTCGCTTGCAGTCTTCCAGCCAGATCGAACCGTGTGGTTTGCAAAGTTCAGCATGAACTAATACAGATACCGGAAGGAGGCACAAAGAAAGGAGCTTCGGTTTCGATTTTTGGACACCTGCCACGGAATAGTATTTGTTAATGTCGCAGGTGGAGAACCAGTCTCTCAGGAACAAGCTCAAACGAATTGGCCAACCTACAGACCTGCAAGGCATATTTGCAGACAGACAACGGCTTGTAATGCTGGTGGCATCATGTAGCATCGAATGGTTCTATTTAGGAAAAGCATGGAAAAGCCAAAGAATTATGATACCTCCACTGCATTCAGACGTTCAGCATACATCAACTATCATGGACGCGGGCTTTGGCAAACCATTTCATGCCAATTATATTGTGTTGCACGTGTTGATAAAAATGTACTGCATGTCCTGCTAGGCGAATTAGACAGAGCTGAGTGTTGCACCATGTGCTGACTGTTATATATATATATGTTATATAATATATGATAGGTAAGGGTTATGTTGGTTCTTCATTACTTCAGAAGATAGCTTTCTGACAGACACTATATATATATATATAAAAGCCAATATAGTTCTATGCCTTGGATGTGACAAGGTGCTGGACAATTGTCCCCGCGGCTTGCCCACGTTCCCGACCAAGATGTCCGTTCCATTTTCGATCGTTTTGCCCTTCTTTGCAAGCAAGGTCCCCATGTGGTGACCCATAGTGCCTAGCCAATGAACCTCGCAAACATTTTTCCAGGACACCCCAGGACACCAGTCAGGAAACGAGTGCGAATCCAGCTGCTCAAAGATCGAGGGCTTTTCATCGGCTGGGGCCATGGAGCATTGCTCCTTCGACCGTTTGGCACAGATCAATGCCTCCCAGCCAGTGCACTTGGAGGTCGAAGGAGATGGCAGCTACGTTCAGGAGAGGAAAGGGAATTCTTACGACATTAACATAGACCGATGTTCTTTTTGCGAGTGATCACTTGCTGCATTCTGTATCATTCTTGCGCCTTTTGCATGCGATTGATGATTGAAGCATTGCACCAAGCAAAGGGAGATCCGCAGGACACCGAAGTACTGAAGGCATCCACAACTTCGTCCGGACCGGACGGAAATGTGTCAGATGCTTGGCCATGCTGGCTGGGCTGGCAACGTAAGGTGGTGCTCCTTGAGGACATGTTTTGGCTTCGAAGACGCTGAAGGACGTAAAACATGGTAGAACCCTATAGTCCTATAGTATCCTATAGTATAAATTCAGATGGTGCAGGCCCAATTTCATAGATTGTGGCTTTTGGAGGGTGAGCGGTCTCTCCAGTTTCGCGCGGCAGATTAGATTTACGCAATTGGTTCCAGATGCCAGCCACCTCTGCATTGCAATTCTTGAAGCTGGGAGACCTGTCGGCCCAATCGGCGACCTGTCTGACCAGCGTCGTTGTGGCCAAGGAGATGTTCCAGTCGCTCATCAATCGGGTGATCGAGCAGCATGTATTGGAGCTTGCGAAAGCTCAATTCCAGGCCTGAATATTCTGCAACACGTTCCTGTTGGTGATTTGTCGAGAGCCTATTTAGATTCCGAAGGCTGCATCTTAATATATATAGTTCAAAAACTGTGACTTGAAGAATGATAAGCTAAAGCTGTATGGACATGTTACAGAAAATTGTGCAATTGTGATCCTTTTGCCAAATTGCAGTGTTCACTGTTTTGTATTGAGGCTGAGCAGTTGGGCACAGAGAGTCAGACCGACCAGCCCTTTGTTGCGGTGAACTCTGATGAATCCAAAGTGTCCAAGGAATTGGAAGAGGAGTACCGCCCCAAGCGCACGAGCGTGCGACGCAGAGGGGGACGTGAGGTGCATGCAAGTCAGATTCTCAATGCATTGGAGATGGGTTTCTTGGCAGTCGAAACGAGAAGCCGCTTCGAGCCGTTTCTTTTTTCTTTCGGCCGCGGTGAGTATGACGAAGGTCATGAGTCATAACCTTTGTCATCTCAGGTGACGCCCAAGAATACGCGCGATGCCCCACTGGGAACTCCAAACTATCCTTTGAGGCTAGTTTCCTCCAGAGCCAGTCCTTAGAGATGCCCTCGGATGTGGGTCTCAGAGCCTGGCTTCAGTCGAATACCTTCGAGCTCCTGATTGCTGTGGCACTTTTGTTGAATGCGCCTCTTCTCGTCACAGTCTTTTGTTGAATGGCCAGAAGCCACTCGTGCGCCGGTGCCATCTCGTCGTCATTCTTTCATGATTCCTCATGCTAGGTCAGTGGGTCTCGGGGTCCAAGGTGATTTGGATCGCCGTCGAAGTACAAATATTTGGCTCTTGGGCTGGCGCAAGTATCGGAGTCGACACTTCTCTTGTGTCAGCAGATGCGCAGCCAACTCTCAGGGTGGCTTTCAACGTTGGCCATATGGCCTTCACAGTGTCGTGGCACGTGAGTTTGAGTCAAACACGTGCGTTCCTGTTTGTTGTTGAAGGCTGTGTTGTGAAACCTCGACATTGCCAAACAAATTGGGTATGGTACTTCAAGCTCTTCCTTGTACTGTTTCATATAATAATGTATTCAAATGGGGGGGGTGTATTAATCAAGACTCTACAGTATTGCATGTCCTGGCCGTCCAGGTGTTCTTCGCTTTGGACATCGTGATTCACGTTTGCATTTTAAGAATCGACTTCTTCAAGGTTTGGATGAACTACATTGATGCTGCAGTGAGCGCAGCCTCAGTGGCTGAAGTGGCTATTGCATATACCGATCTTCCAGTGAACCTGGCCATTTTCCGAGCACCTCAGCTTGCCACAGGAAGGAAATAAGATAAAGAAAGTTATGTGAACCAAGTGTGATAAATGATGGCCCTTTGTTTTTTCCTTCAGGGTTCTCTTCGGACTGGGCTAAGTCCAACACGGTTGACCGCTTTTCGAGAAACCAACGCGTGGCAATTTTGGAGTAACCTTTGTGCCAGTGCATCTGTGTGGGCGTTGCAGCTTGGGCGTTCTACATCCTGGTGCAGCCATAGTAGTTGCAGCCATTTATCTAGTCAATAGTTGTTGAACACCAAACTTGCTCGCTATGTAAAGATAAAGATGATCGCCGGCAGGTGCTCCGCATCGGAAAGCTCATCCGGTCCATTCGAATGGTTCGGATGACCCGGGTCATGGCATCACTGCAGATGTTGATCAAATGCCTGCTGGGCAGCGCCAACAACCTCTTTTGGAGTTTTTGCTCCTCGGTGGTGCTGGGTTTAGGCAGTTTCAGAACGATGCTCATGCCCGATATATATATATATATATGAGTGTGTGTGTACTCCTCTATGCATGTGCATGAATATATATATATATACACATACACGTGCTGAGTGTCAGTTTTTGGCCTTTGTTTAGTATGATTGATTTGGTCTGTTTACACGCAGTCGCAGTGAAACTTCAAGGATAGTCCCTTTTGCAACATAGTCTTGCAGAGATGTTTGTACTCTAAAGATGTCATCCACTGTGAGGGGCTGAGGTTGGTGGGTGGGTCCACCGTCGAACTGTTGCCCCAAATAAATGCCCTCCGACACCTAAAAAGCGGGAAAGGCAAGCGGTCGGCCAAAGAAGAGCCACAAATGCACCAATGGCTTCACTGTGCCAAAGAATGTCCGGTGCACATGAATTTTTCCGGTTTGCTGCGCCAAGGCTTGCTGTCCTTTTTCCAGTGTGTTGCTGGCATGATGCTGAGCACCGTTTCCTATGACTTCATCCTGGACATGAGCCGCGATGCAGAGAAGCGAGAGCAAATCTTTCGATACTATGGAACCTTCACGCGAGCGACGTTGACCATGTTTGAGATTCTGTCCTTTGACAAAATGGAACCTTTACAGTACATACCTTTACTGTAACCTGTTAGGTGTCCCTTTTGAAGCAGGCGCAGGAGCAACCCTGAAGGTTAGTGTTTTGCTTTTACTTCCGTTCGAGAGACAGGTTTGGCAACTGGGGACCCCCCGCACGAATTCTGGTGGAGAACGTCAGCGAGTGGTTCGCACCCGTCTTCTTGGGCTACAGATGCGTTTTTCTGTATGCCACACTCAATGTCATCAACGCTGCATCTCATTTGGAGCCAACGAATTGAGCGACTGTTTGAGCTTGAGTTTGCAGTCATTTCAGCCCTTTTCGGATTTGTTTTACATGTTATCCTTACTTCCTTTGACAAAGCGAGGTATTCGTTCAGCAGACATTGAAAACTGCAAATACAGATGAAGAGATTGCCTTCAAGCAAAAGGAGAAAGACATGGCAGCCTACACAAGGACTCAGCAACATCTCAACCATGTTATGTGATCAATAAAGGACTGAGTTGATTAGAGAATATGGTCTTTTTTTTGAACCATTCAACAACGAGTGTGATACATATATATATATATATTATTGCAGCACAAACGCCGTTAGCAAGTACCAAGTTGACTGTAGCCCCCAAGAAAGCGATTGAACCCTTTCTGGAGCGAGAGCCATGTTTTTGGTCATTAACCTGTTTATGAAGCCGATGTCCCTGGCAGACGCTCCTGTTTGCAGCCTTCCTCACTCGCATCACCCGTGCATTCAACAGCATTGAGTAGTTTCAGGTGATTTCAGGTGTTTGGCGTACACTCTGACAGGCGCTGCTAAGATGTCGGTGTTCACTCTCATGGTCAGAGCTTGTGCAATGAAATGAACCCAAAGAAGTCACTGCTTCATGCTGCTCCAGGAAGGTCAAGTCGCTCTTCCAGCAAGTGGATTCATCGGGCGATGGAACGCTCAACTTGGAGGAGTGTCCTGGTGTGAGAGGGGTGTTTGGCTAAATGGCTTTTAGGGACCATAGGCCAGGCCGTTTGGTCCTTTAAAACGCTTGTTTGGCCAAGGTTTTCCAAGCTGGTGACTTCGCCGAAGTTGAACTTTTGGATGGGACAACTGGAGCTGGAGCATCTTGACTTCAATGAATTGCACGCGCGCACGCACTGACAAGTGCCCCAGTTATTTTAGAGTATATCCTAGCCAAGGATGAGCAATTCACCAAAGAATGGTCACCCGGTGTAAATCATTTGTTTGAAATGTTCAATAGCTACAGGGCTCCTCTCTTAAGCCACGCCCATGCAGGAAGCTGTTCACAGACGCACGGGATACAGGAATCAGTTAGCCTAGCAAGAATCAGGTGATAGCGGTTGTTTCATATTGTGTCTATATTCTGGGAGCTGCTCACAAGACTCCAACTGGTAGGGATTCTAGGAGCCCCTTTCCTTTGGCGCCAACCATGTTGTTGGTGAATGTTGGTGACCTTTCTCACTTAAAGTGGATTGTGGTAACATGTGGCAACCATGTGGTAAAGCAGATTGTTTAAGATCGGTGGGGGCAGTGCAGGGGAAGTGAGAGAAGAGAGAAGAGAGTTGGAAGCGCGGGACTCTTGTTTCCAAACAGATTCCGGGTGCGGCGTGCAGTGAATCGATCTGAATCTAAGGAGTCTTTTCAAATTTTTTGTTTCGGGTTCGGTTTGTGTTTGACTTGTAGCTCGTACTGCCAGATTCTCAGGTATCATGACCTCCTCAGCCTTTTCGAGTTTTTGGCATCTTGGATCCAGTCCAATCAGAGCCGGTATTTCTTTCGTAAAAGGGACGGAGGAAGAATAGACGCTCAACACGACATGCGCCCCAGTCAACTAGCATCACTGACTTGCTGTTTCCTGGCTGAGCCGCCGCAGAATTGCTGCGCGCCAACGCTGAAAATCTCTGAAAGATTCAACCAGGCAAGAAACTCCTCATCTTGGTCTTTGAAGGGGTAAATTATGGCAATCCACTGCCCCACAGTTTGACTGAATGAGATTTTGGCTTTCACCTGCCACGCAAGGACAATGGTGATGGGCAACTTGGTTTTGCTTATGGTGATGGTATGTGATTGTATGTAGTTGTCCATTGGTGAATCACATGCGACATTTATGGATATATATATGATATATATATACTGTAATGACGTAATGATATATGTACTGTATTTAAGTATCCAGGTTTCTTCTTCGGCCGCAATCTACTGCCGCTGCTGCTGTCCAAGGAAAATCACATTTTCAGAGTTCATCGATGGTGCTGCACGGCTCCGGGGTGGCGCCAAAGCCTTGGATATTTGGCGTGCCCCGGGCTGACATTCGGAACGCTCATGGGACCGACAGCCCCGTTTGACAATCAGCTTTCGTCTTCAGCTTTGCAGGTTCATAGCTGTGGCATGCTGGAGCTTCTTGAAGGACTAGCGCTGATTAGTTTGTATACCAAAATGTTACTGCTCAGCCCATTTGGTGCAAATGTAGGGTCAGCCCAATTCAGAGGCCGTTGGTGCAGCACAAACACGGATTCTCATTCTAGCCCTTCAACTGATATCGTGTGATTTGTGATCAGCATCACACCAACCGTGCATGTGTGACATTCCTTTACTGCAAGTCAGTAAGTCATTCGTTCTTTGGGGTTCAATTCTGACATTCAGACAAGTGCAAATGAAATCAGTTTATGCTGAGGGAGTGGTGAGACATGGAGGCATGCACGGGTTAGGACGCATACCTTTCACGACTGCTAAATTGGATAGCAATCAGTTGACATGGGCCTATTTGATGGTGAGAGGTTGACCCACCTGACTTGACTCAGGTGTGGAGACGAAACTGGAGGACGGGCAAAAAGTCCAAACTAAAGGTATTGTCAAATTATTATGTTGTTGAATTGACGATTCTCCGTTTAGAAGATTTCGACCTTCACGCCGGCCGCATCGGCAATCCCTGAGAGGTCTTGTTTGAGGAAGTGCTACAAGCGCTGAAGGGGGACAGGCGAATTTCCGTACAGGTGCCATTCCGAGTTTAAAGCTTGATGCACCAAATGCCCAATATGAAGCCGTTTTTTGCAGAGGACCTTGCCCACCCAAGAAGGAGAACCATTTGAGCCAACATTCTTGTGGTGTTACGAAATCCATCGGGGGTTACTGATATATAATGATATACTGATACTGTATATATATATACATAATATACAATCCAGTGACACCCCAGGCTGCCCAGGCTAGGGCATGACTGCTAGTAGGACGCCCCTTCTGGTCCGAACCTTGGGCAGGCCGTTTTCGACAACTCCAACTTCCGACACATCAAGACGAACGCTCCTTGGCATGTGAAGCGACCAGTGGTCAGTGGCTAGTCCGACCAGGGCCCTTATGGACACTTCACTGGATCAGACGTCACAAATTGTTTTTATTTAAACAAACTAACTATACAGTATAACTCATGTTCAATCTATGTGTTTATTTGTTTATGGCTTTGTTTATCCATCCATCCTTCCTTCCTTCCTTACTTCCTTCCATCTCCATCTACCGATCTACCTATTTGCCTCTCTGCCTATCTACCTATCGATCTATCAAGCCAATCCAATCCGATCCAACCCAACCCAACCCAACCGAATCCAATCTAATCTATCTATATTTATTTATGTATTTCTTTATTTCTTTCTTTCTATCTTATATTATTTTGTCATATCTATCATCTATCCATCTTACCTATCTATCTTATCTATCTATCGTATCTATCTATCTTATCTATCTATCTAATCTATCTATCTAATCTATCTATCTAATCTATCTACCTAATCTATCCAATCTATCTATCTAATCTATCTATCTATCTATCTATCTATTTATCTATCTATCTATCTATCTATCTATTTATCTATCTATCTATCTAACTAATCTAATCTAATCTAATCTAATCTATCTAATCTATCTATCTAATCTCATCTAATCTATCTATCTGATCTATCTATCTATCTATCTATCTATCTATCTATCTATCTATCTATC